AAGGATCGTCTCAGATTGAGCTGGCGAGAACGCTCATGGAACGTGACTTTCCCCCTTTACCCGGTTTGCCAAACGAAAATTCGTGGTACCAGGGTCTGGGGTAGAAGCCTTGGGATCCGGTTGGGGGTATTTTGGTCTCACCCACAATTTGGGGTCTGATCCCCGAAACCACACAGACCGGGTAGCGTTTGGTCTAGCGGAAAGTGTTCCATAAGATTTAACCCCACCCGGGGGCCTTAAGCGTTACCTCCTCCATGGCTGACCAACGCCGCCCATCAACACCGTTTGCGTGTTCTGCGCCCCACTTCGCACTCGGACGGACAGGGAGAGACATGCTGACGGGGTTGCTTTGGATCCCGATGCCCGTGATCCTATAAGCGTTGAAGCAACTGTAAGCGGTTGCCTTAGAATTAAGGGTGGGGGTATTTACATCGTATCACTGAAACTCAGTATCACCCCAAAGGTGTGGCTCACTGAGTCGTTACAGAAGAAGACTCTGTGGGTTGGTAAGAAGGAGTCAAAAGCCACAGTGGAGACCGGACAGAAGGGTAAATTTGTTACCGTTGTACCATTACTGCGCGACGAACCCTGGCTGGCTGAAAGTAGGGGGGGTGCAACGTGTGCCCTGCCCAGAAATCCCTGCCCCGAGATCAGAGGCTTGGCTGCCAGTGCCCCGTTGGCATTCAGTGCCCGAGGCTACAGAGGAGACCTGTTGCAATTTGCCTGAGCCTCAGCCTCACCCAAATTAGTTGAAGAGCCACGGCTGGGAACGGGGCGTTCCCCGGAAGAGACGTGTTTGAATGCAAACGATGCTTTCGTGTTTCTTCCTGCTTGCCCACTGGGGGCCGCATCGGAGGCAGCTCGCTCAGACTGCGTCTGATCTACCCGGCCTGCCAGGGACGCAATTTGCCCCAACAGTCCTTTGACCAAAGCCCTCAACTCGTGCGAGGAAGGATCCCCATACGAGGAAAAAAACCTCCATGGGCACAGCCTCGCTGTAGCCGGTAAAATCGGGTAAACCACTGCCTGAAAACCCAGACTATGAGGATGCCCTCCAATCAGCGGGGAGAGGCCGGAAAAATATTGGAACCTCCACTGTTGAGCCTCCTACTCAACGTCTCGGTACGCAAAGCACCGGTAGCCGAGTGTGAGGACTTTCCACTCATGCCAAAAACGCAACTCACTTTAAAGGATTTTTACTGGACCTTGTTGTCAAAAACGAGCGACGCGGCCAGTCTCAGCAATTTTGATGGCTCTGAAAAAAAAATATCTCAGGCCTCAGAACTCCAGTGAAAAACGCATGCCTTCAAGGCAAAGACCCCGAACCTTGCACGCAGCCACGGCAAAAAAGCATATCGT